GAGAACAGAGCGTCTTTTTTGTGGAAGGGATTGCTAGCCTGGCTTCCAGGCTCCAGAGCAGGGCTCAAGCTACCCCTGGCAGGGGGGCTACAGTATGGGTAGTTCTGTGGGAGGGAGGGGTGCGTTTGGTGGGTTAAAGGCTGCAGCCTGGGGACAGGTGGCAGTGGGCTGAGCTGGAGTACCTGTTTCCTCTGCCTTCTCTTCATACCCCTGTGTCCACTGAGGACACAGCTGGCAACCAGACCAATAGGGCGCCTGCCCAGGGTAGCTCAGCCTGATGGGGGAGACAGATGGCAAATAGGAGATTATGACTCTGTGCCACCAGCGGGGAGAAGGCAGCAGACTAGGTGTCTCCATCCAGCAGGTGGGAGTGGGCAGGCGGGTCAGGGAAGCCTGGAGTCCGCTGGGCCACAGTGCTTCCGGGAGAGGGGGAGGAGCCAGTGCGGTGTCCCCATGTGTCTGGGAGGCCTCTCACAAGAGGACAGAGTGGAGCCAAATGCAGTGAAAAGACAGAGGCTGCCCAGGTCTGGCCCGAGGGCTGAGGAAAAGAGCATCTTCAGCAGAGGGTCCCGCCAGGGTGGACAGAGAAGCAGCCCCATGTGGCCCTGGCAGTGTGAGGATCAAGGGTGCAGTGAGAGGGGACCAAGAAGTCGCTGGGGCCAGATTGTGAGGTGGCCAGACTGCAGCGTGGCCCAGGGCTGTCCTGACTGACACCTGTGGTCCCACACCACTATCGATAGTGGCTTCACATCTTCAGAGCTGCCTGGCTGCAATAAGAAATGATACGGTCACACCCTTTACAGGCCACAGTGAGTGTGTGGATTTTATTCTCGATGTGAGGTTTTAAGCCTGGGTATCAGAGCGGGCTTAAGTGTTTCTGGAAGCCGTGCACTGACTCCTCCCATAGGCCCTGTGAAGCCCAGATCCCCTCTCCACCACCCGCAGGGCCTGGCCCTGGCCCCTCCCTCCCCTGGGTGAGAGCCCCTGCCACTGGCCACCCACAGGACCTGGCAGGAAGGGCATCAGGTGTTTGCCTCGGAACCCTGGTGGGGCGTCTGTGCCTGGGAGGGAATGAGGGCAGTGCCTGCCAGCAGCAGCCAACACTGCTGAACCTTCATCTATGTGCCAGGCCCGTGCTGAGTGCTTCATGGACCTTCTGCTTCCTTAGAACACTGGCAGTAATCCATTTCACAGACAAGGACATTGAGACTCAGAGAGGTGAAGTGACTTCATTTTTTATTTTTATTTTTTTGAGACCAAGGTCTCACTGTTGTCCAGGCTGAGTGCAATGGCACAGTCACAGCTCACTGCAGCCTCGACCTCCTGGGCTCAAGCAATCCTTGCACCTCAGCCTCCCAAGTAGCTGGGGCCACAAATGTGTACTCCCATGCACATCTAATTTTTGTTTTTTTGTAGAAATGGGGTCTCACTATGTTGCCAGGCTGGTCTCAAACTCCAGGGCTTAAGCAATCCTCCCACCTCAGCCTTCCACAGTGTTGAGATTACAGGCATGTACCACCACCCCTGGCCTGATATGACTTCTTACCTCAAGGTTGCCACAGTAAAGGAGGGAAAACAAGGTGCTCCGATGTGCCAGGTGCCCCTCCTCTAGCTCCTTGGCCTGGTACCTGCCATTTCCTGTGTCGGGAACACTAGTTCCTGCTCATCCCATCACAGCACCTTCTTATCTCATGGAGCTGAAATTGCTTTGTTTAGTCTCCCACACTGGACTGTGAGCAACAAGGCACATGGAGGCTCTGCTGTAGCCCAGCACAGAACCTGGCACATTGAGAGATCTCATTTTAAAAACTTGTGGCCAGGCTGGGTGCAGTGGCTCACGCCTGTCATCCCAGCACTTTGGGAGGCTGAGGCAGGTGGATCGCTTGAGGTCAGGAGTTCGAGACCGGCCCGGCCAACATGGTGAAACCCCATCTCTACTAAAAATACAAAAATTAGTTGGGTTTGGTGGCACCTGCCTGTAATCCCAGCTACTCGGGAAGCTGAGGAAGGAGAATCACTTGAACCTGGGAGGCAGAGGTTGCAATGAGCTGAGATCATGCCACTGCACTCCAGCCTGGGCAACAGAGCAAGACTCCATCTCAAAAAAAAAAAAAAACCTAGGTGATAGGATGAGTTGTGCAGCAAACCACTGTGGCACACGTTTACCTATGTAACAAACCTGCACATCCTGCACATGTACTCCTGAGCTTAAAATGAAAGTTGAAGGAGAGAGAAAAAGAAAGAAACTGTATTTTGCTACGCAGCACCTTCAAACAAGACCTACCTCTCCAAAAGTAGATTGCTGTAAAGCAATTTTACTGAGTCTCCCTAAGAAATGTGACCTCTGGCCGGTGCGGTGGCTCATGCCTGTAATCCCAGCACTTTGGGAGGCCAAGGTGGGTGAATCACAGGTCAGGAGTTCAAGTCCAGCCTGACCAACATGGTGAAACCCTGTCTACTGAAAATACCAAAAAAATTAGCCAGGCATGGTGGCATGTACCTATAATCCCAGCTACTTGGGAGGCCAAGGCAGGAGAATCACTTGAACCCAGGAGGCGGAGGTTGCAGTGAGCCAAGATCACTCCAGGGAGACAGTGAGAAACTGTCTCAAAAAAAAAAAAAAAAGTGTGGGGGGATGGGAACTTAGAATTGTGACTCCTTCCTCTGTCCATTTGAGATGTGTATGTATGTCCTACAAGTCAGGAGTATCCTTCTCAAGGACCTGAAAGCCATTTGGTTGAAATGTACTATCAGGAAGGACAGAGTCTCTGTCTCCCAGTCTTTGCAGAAGAACAGTCTTAACTTCCATAATTGCCAGCAAGCACAGCAGCTGCCTAATCACATTTACCATGACCAACCCTTTGGAATTTGTCATTTCCCTCACTCTGCTGAAGCCACCACCATTTTCCTCCACTCCCTCATTCTCCCTTTAAGCCAGACATGGTGGTGCATGCCTGCAGTCCCAGCTACTCTGGAGGCTGAGGGGGAAGATTGCCTCAGCTCAGTAGTTTGAGGCCAGCCTGGGCAACATAGCAAGACAACATCTCAAGAAAGCAGAAAAACCAAACCACAAAAAACACCAGTCATTTCTGCACTAACAAGTTTCAGTTGGTTCACACTGTCCCCTCTGCCCTGTCAATAGCATATTGTTAACTAAACTCCATCCTTACTATCTGAACTAGTGTCAGGGTATTTGACGATAGGACAGTGCCTGACCCACAGAAGCTTCAGAATTACGTGCTGAGTGGATAATGTGCTGGATGTCCCCACTCAGCACATTAGATCCTGCACTCAGTGCAGTAATCAAGACTAAATGGCAAATAACAGACACCCAACTCAAACGTCTACCCAGGCTAGTTAAAGGTAGGAATTGAGGCCGGGCACAGTGGCTTACACCTATAATCCCAGCACTTTCGGAGGCTGAGGTGGGGCAGATCACTTGAAGTCAGGAATTGGAGATCAGACTGGCCAACATGGTGAAACCCTGTCTCTACTAAAAATACAAAAATTAGCCAGGTGTAGTGGCATGCACCTGCAGTCCCAGCTACTGAGGAGGCTGAGGCAGGAGAATCAACTGAACCCAGGAGGTGGAAATTGCAGTCAGCCCAGATCGCACCACTGCAGCACTCCAGAGTGAGGCTCTGTCTAAAAAAAAAAAAAAAAGGCTGAGCATGGTGGCTCATGCCTGTAATCCCAGCACTTTGGGAGGCTGAGGCGGGCGGATCACGAGGTCAGGAGTTCAAGACCAACCTGGCCAATATGGTAAAGCCCAGTCTCTACTAAAAATACCAAAACAAGGCCGGGCGCGGTGGCTCAAGCCTGTAATCCCAGCACTTTGGGAGGCCGAGGCGGGTGGATCACGAGGTCGAGAGATCGAGACCATCCTGGTCAACGTGGTGAAACCCCGTCTCTACTAAAAATACAAAAAATTAGCTGGGCATGGTGGCGCGTGCCTGTAGTCCCAGCTACTCAGGAGGCTGAGGCAGGAGAATTGCTTGAACCCAGGAGGCGGAGGTTGCGGTGAGCCGAGATCGCGCCATTGCACTCCAGCCTGGGTAACAAGAGCGACACTCTTGTCTAAAAAAAAAAAAAAAAAAAAAAAATACCAAAACAAAAACAACTAGCCGGGTGTGGTGGCGCGTGCCTGTAGTCCCAGCTACTCGGGAGGCTGAGGCAGGATAATTGCTTGAATCCAGGAGTCGGAGGTTGCAGTGAGTCGAGATTGAGCCACTGCACTCCAGCCTGGGCAATAGAGGAAGACTGTCTCAAAAATAAATAAATAAATAAAAATAAGTTGGTCTCATTTTCTCCAGCCACAGACAGGATAGGTCTTCTCACAGTGTAAAGATGGCTCCCGGTTGCCTTATATCCCATTCCTTAGGCTCGAGATCCAAAATAATGCCCCTTCCTCTCAGCATCTAGACAGTAATCTCATGGAAGGCCTGTGATTGGTTCTGCAGAGACACACGCACACAGCCTGCCATCCGCACGCCATCCAATGAGGTGAGGGCCAGTCCCTCCAATCACATGGAATGGGAAGTCGATTCCCCCAACCAAAAAAAGGATGTTGAGCTGAGAAAAACAACAGATGTCAGAGGAGTATCCTGGAGGAGCTGGGATGGAGCCAATCAGATGTTGGCGGAGGAGGATGCTGGTATCAGCGGCAGGTGCTGTGGAGAGGCAGGGCTGAGTGGGGAAGGCCCTGGGGACACAGGGAAGGAGGACAGCCTGAAGCCTCCAGCGGGGAAAGTCCGCCTGTAGGTGGTGGCTCACAGCAGGAGAGGCAAGACAGCCCCGTGCCAGACAAGGCGCTTCCATTATTTAATCCTCCCAAACACCTTAGGAGGGAGGCACTACTGACAGCGTCCTTATAGAGACAGAAAACAGCTCAGAGGGGCTCAGTAACTCGCCCAGGGTCACTTGGGTAGGAAGGGGCAGTGCTGGTATTTCTGACTCCCGCCTAAGTTGTATCACCCATAGTCGGAATGTGCCCCACATACCTCCATTTTTCTCTCGTCCGTTTGCAATACCTGATGATAAATAGCAAAGAGGTAAAGCTGTCACCACAGAGCAACCTTGGGCGACCCCTGGCCCTCTCGAGACCTTAATCATCACATCTTTAAAATGGGCACAATTTTGCCTCCTGGACTCAAAGCAAGCGGCGGGATCTTTGAAGCGCCCAGGGAGCTCTGCGCATGCGCGAGGCTATGGGGGCGGGTACAGGAGAGGGCCGAGGAGGCGCGCGCGCGCTCTCGTGCTTTCAAAAGTTACCTGGCGGGTGGGGCTGGTGTTGGGGGAGTTACCAGCTGCGCGCGCGCGCGCCGGCCCCGCCCTCAGCCTCTTCAGGCACCTGTTGGCTTGAGGGCCCACTCGGCCGCAGCTGCCATCCAATAGGCAGCCTCCATGACCCAGTCCGGCCCCGCCCGCCTCCCGGATTCACCAATCCCCGGGTGGCCCTGTGCCCCTCCCTCGGAGGGCCCGCCTCTCTGGGCGCTTCTTCCGGGTGGGACCCGGGCCGAGGCGATGGCGCCCTGGGCGCTCCTTAGCCCTGGGGTCTTGGTGCGGACCGGGCATACCGTGCTGACATGGGGGATCACGCTGGTGCTCTTCCTGCACGATACCGGTGAGCCGGACCCCGAGCGACCCCGGACCCACCCGATCCCGCGTGGTTCCCCAGACGTTCGGGTCTTACTGGGTCCCCCACCTAATCCCTGGAGATCCTGGGATTGGCCGGATCTCCGCCAGCTCCTGAAGCCCCCTCCCCATCTATCATTCCAAGAGCCACCTGCTCTCCGCCTGATACCCCGTCGATCCCTAATTAACCCCAGCATCTTCCTGATCACTGCCAGATGCCCTGTCCATCCCAGGACCTAGCCGGTGCCCACCAGATCCAAGGACCGACTTGAACCCCATGTCCCCCGATCCTGGGACCCACATGATCCTTCCCAGGAACTGACCCCAAATCTTGCCATCCATACGATTACGCAGCTCAACTATATGCAAAGATTGGCATTCTGCCCACACCCACACCCTCCACACCCCCATGGCCACTAACTGCCCAAGTCCAGGCAACCCCTCAGGCAAGAGAACATCCCAGGGATGCGGCCCATCTCCCGTCTTCCCACAGGAACACCCATTCACCCACCCACCCACCTCCATTTCCTTCAGTAGCCCCCTATCCAGCGCCTCACCAGCCACACACAGGCAGCCTCCCCCACTGTCACCCACGGCAGCCCCCAGCTCTCCTTCCATGGTGGTCCAGCCTCAGTTTCTGGACTGGGGCCCCTTCTGGCTTTACTCCCAAGACCTCAAACCTCCTCCACCACCTTCACCCTTTAGCCTAAAAACTTGCTCAGGTCTCCCTATGAGAAAAGAACCCCTCTCAAAAAGCCACCCTTTTATCTCTGCTCCTTCTTACAACCAAGGGACACTGGATTTGTCCACACTCTGCTGTCTGGTGGTCTCATACCCCCTCATTCCTTGCCCTGCACCCCACCTCCCCAACCTACTGTCGCCTCCATGTGCTGAAGCCGACTGGACATGCCTTATGCCCCTCTGCAGCATCTGAGCCTGCGGGCTGCACCCTCCCCCACATAGCTCTCTCAAGCATTTCAGACCTGGCCAGTCTCTCACCATGGCAGAGCCAGAGACCCTGGACCCCTCCTCCCTCTCCCCCACATCCAGTCAGGTCTGGCTTCCTTCACCCAGAAGTCCCCTGTCTATTCCTTCCTCTCTCACTCCCTGCCAGGCCTTTGCAGGTACCCTCTTCTTCCTTCTGGCCAGATTCTCTGCCCCCAGGCTTCCCCCGATCCATTTCTCTAGCAATGAGGTTTTCCAAAACATATCTGGCCCTATAACCTTCCATGGTTCCCTCTGACCCTCCAGATAAAGTACAGATGAACTGGTGGCCACACACAGCCACTCATGGAACCAACCTTTCCAGGCCTTCGCTCAGCCAGGAACACACTTCCCCACCTCCAGCTGCACCCCAGCCCCATCCACCCCTCTTCTGCCCAGCCCAGCCTCACTGTGCTCTCTGGCCTCTCCAGAGCTTCGGCAATGGGAGGAGCAGGGGGAGCTGCTCCTGCCGCTCACCTTTCTGCTCCTGGTGCTGGGCTCCCTGCTGCTCTACCTCGCTGTGTCACTCATGGACCCTGGCTACGTGAATGTGCAGCCCCAGCCTCAGGTAACCAGGGACCCCGACTCTCACCCACAGGGACTCAACACCAGCACAGTCCACATGCCAGGTTCTGTGCTGCAGCTCTTGTGGGGGCAGCTCAGTGCATCCTCTTGCCAGTCCTAGAGCTCCAGCCTACATTATCAAGGAAACTGCTGGGGCCAGAGAAGGAAGAGACTGACAAGCATCACACAGCTCCCCTCAGTCCAGGGCGCTCTGCCACACCCTCACCTCCATTCTGCATGGGATGGGCCCCAAACTGCACACCCAGAGCTAAGCTGGCCCCTAGGGGAGCTGCTCACCAGTGCCACCTGTCTCCCAAGGGGACCGTGTCTTACACCCCGCCCCTCATTCCAGGAGGAGATCAAAGAGGAGCAGACAGCCATGGTTCCTCCCGCCATCCCTCTTCGGCGCTGCAGATACTGCCTGGTACTGGTGAGTGAGGCAGGAACCCCCGTGGGAGAGGTTGGGCCAAAGCTGAGACTCCTCAACCTCCTCCTGCCCCACTGCCTGGGCCTCACCCCTCCTCCAAGAAGGCCTTCCAGATTCAGGCCCTGATTCCCCCCTCAGCGGTGGGCCCACCGCGGGGCTGGCACGGAGTCCCCACTCTCCTCCATGCCCACAGCAACCCCTGCGGGCTCGGCACTGCCGTGAGTGCCGCCGCTGCGTCCGCCGCTACGACCACCACTGCCCCTGGATGGAGAACTGCGTGGGGGAGCGCAACCACCCACTCTTTGTGGTCTACCTGGTGCTGCAGCTGCTGGTGCTTCTGTGGGGCCTCTACCTGGCATGGTAGGTGCTGCCCGGGGCGTGGGAAGACGGTGGGATGCATGCGTCCACAGGGGTGGACAGAGCCAGGGCTCCCAGGGACCCGGCACAGGGAGGGAAGAGCTCCCCAGCCCTCCCCAACAGCAGGCCCCTGTCCCCTGCACCGCAGGTCAGGCCTCCGATTCTTCCAGCCCTGGGGGCTGTGGCTGCGGTCCAGTGGGCTCCTGTTTGCCACCTTCCTACTGCTGTCCCTCTTCTCATTGGTGGCCAGCCTGCTCCTTCGCCTCGCACCTCTACCTGGTGGCCAGCAACACCACCACCTGGGAGTTCATGTCCTCACACCGCATCGCCTATCTCCGCCAGCACCCCGGCAACCCCTTTGACCGGGGCCTGACCCGCAACCTGGCCCACTTCTTCTGCGGATGGCCCTCGGGGTCCTGGGAGACCCTCTGGGCTGAGGAGGAGGAGGAGGGCAGCAGCCCAGCTGTTTAGGGTCGCTGGAGGCCGGGCTGCCGTCCTGTGCCTGAAAACCACGGGGCCTGTTCCCAGCTGGGGTCAGCCCTCGGAGGGCCTGGGGCTGCTCATTCCTGCCCACTCCTCAGGCCCCAGAACGGAGCTTCAAGACAGACAGATCCTGCCTCGCTGGGCAGTTCTACCATCCAAGGAAGAAGGAGAAGAAGACCTGTGGGCAGCTCAGGCCCAAGCAGACCTCGGGCTCCACCCCAGCCCAACCCAGCCCAGGCTGCCGCCAGTGCACATGTATGAATTTAATAATCTATAAAGCAAGTCAAATCTTAAAAAGACAAATCGTATCACTCCTCGCTGTGGCACCCTTTCTGGGCCAGGTCTCATTGGGAGGTAGAGGAGGGCAAGCTGGAGGGGGAGGGGACACACTTTGCCCAGGGACACTGAGCAAAGCCCATGACAGAGGACCCATGGCTGCCACCTTGAGTCCCAAGGGCTCATAAAGGCCAAGCAAGTCCTGGGCCTCCAGGCAGGGCACACAGGTGGGTAAGCAGAGGCTCTAACAGTCTGTGGGAGTAGGGGGCAGAGGTGCAAGGAGACGCCCTCAGGGCTCCAGGAATCGCTCTGACACAAAGTCGAAGTCCTGGAAGGCGGCCTGTTGGCAGGCAGTGAGGGGGCTGTGGGGTGCAGGTGGGGTCAGGGCAGGCGGCAGCCCTGTGAATTCATCCTCAAAGTAGCGCAGGTCCGCAGGGCCATAGAGGGTGGGCACGAAGGGGGGCCGGACGGTGCGGGCAAGCAGGGCCTGCCAGTTGATGGTCTGGAGGAAAAGGAGAGGTGCCTGAGACGGCGGGAATGTCAACCCCAGGAGTCACTGCATGCCACCCACCCTGCCAGGCACAGGGGACCACTGCCACCCCAGCCACTCACCCTGAAGAATGGCTGGACCTTGATCTCCTCGGCATCCTGCTCCCCCGCCCCGAGGCGCTTCTCCGGGCACTTCTGGAGGAGCTGGGCAATAGGATGGGCGCTCACTTAGGGCATTCAGCCCCAGGCATCGCTGCCATCCGCACGACCCAAGCGCGCTGGCCCAGAGGGCTCCAAGGATGGGTGTCAGGGGGTCTGCTGTCCCATGGAAGAGGGCACAGGGGCCTTGAGGGGCCACCCAACCCAGTCCCAGCCCTGCAGTGCTTACCTTCTGAATGAGCTCAAGCCCTTGCACTGACAGAAAGCCAGGGTAGGGGGCATCCGTGTTCACGATGCAATCAAACACCTCCTCCTCGGTGTCCCCTGGGAACGGGCACTGTGGAGATGGGGCTCAGTGGGATGTACGGCCCCCTGACCCCAACCCAGAGGCCCAGGCAGCACGCTCCAGCACTCACCTCGCCCACCAGCATCTCATAGAGCAGCACGCCCAGCCCCCACCAGTCCACAGCCCGAGTATACGCCTCCTGTGTCAGCACCTCGGGAGCCAGGAACTCCGGGGTGCCACAGAAGGTGCTAGTCCGGTCCCCAAAGCCAATCCCTGCAAACCAACACACACACCAATAGCTGCTTGCTGTGGCCTATTCACAAAAACCTCAACGGCCCAGCCTTATGATGCAGGCAGCTGAGCCTATGCCAAGCCCTGCCCTGTACCCAAGGAAGTGGGAATGTTTACGCCGCCATTCAACTTCAGGCTCACAGGCTAAGGTCACAGAAGGCAGAACTCAGGCTCCTCTCCCAGCCCTGACCACAGGCTCTACCTCGGGCCAAAGGCAGGCCAGG